GATAACAGTGCACCCTTTCGTCATGAACTATATACAGGACTATCCTGAAAGGTGTGCCCTTGCAACTGTGAAATTCGGTGTTTGTCCAACATGCATAGTATCCAAAGACGATTAGGATGTCATCGCCGATTTCACCAACTGCAGGAGATTGCAGACGCTAGAGACGCAACTTGCCGCGAACTGCTTCAACAGTGGGGACAACGACATTCGTCGTGCTGCTGAGGCACGAATGTCAGAATTGGACATGCATAAGCATGTTCAAGAGAACGGCCTATGGGGATTCTACAAGGGTCCGCATGGTGACGATCCTGAACAAGATTACCATCTCGCTTTGCAACCTGACCGTATGCACACCATTGAACACGACATTTTTTTTTGCATATGATAGATGCATTCAAGGCAGCTGCTTATAAGAAGTTGCCAGATACCGCGCAAAGCGAGATATTGCACGAGATGGATGCGAGGTTGCAGAGCATCAGTGAAAGATCCACACGGACATACCCGCAGCTTGTGTTGCCCGTAGCCACAGGTTGTGATTTCTTTTCAAGGGAAGGACGATTTGAAGCGAAGCAAAATCGGTCTGTTATGACAGTTTGCGTATTTATTATTTGTGATATCATCCCACGTGCGACATGCAAATCCATTTCCGCTTGTTTCATCAAACTCATGAAAATGTACATACACGTGTTTCGTAAATCAACCCACACAGCGTCCTCTCTCGATGTTTGTGACACATTGATAGGTGATTTCATAACTAGTATAAAAACGAAGATGAAAAAATATCAAACCTCTGATTGGAAAATTTCGAAGTTGCATGACCTTATGCATTTGAGAACAAGCATAGAGCGATCTGGTGTTCCCGACACGTTCGCAACTGATGTGTGGGAGCATAATCATCAGAGGTTCTGCAAACAGCCATATTTGTCATCAAACAAGCGTAAGGCTGCTTCCCAGATGGTGAATCATGTCCGACGCTCATTGGCTTTGCAGGAGGAGATGGAGAGTGTGAGAAAACGCAGGAAGAGGTCGGCAGAAAATTGGTCATCCGTGATAGAGTGCATGGCCACCGGAAGTAATACCCTAGCAGCGGGTGACACAGCAACTCTACAACTCCGGTGGTTCCAGATGGACAATGTGCATTTGCCAGGCGTAGAGGGTATGAGCGATGCGGCGTTGAGAATACTTAATGAGCTTCCAAGCAGAGAGGATTTTCGAGCTGCATTTACGACGTTCATGACAGAGATGGGTTGTCAACCTCCATCTGATGACCAAGTCATACACACTCGAACACACTTGACTATCGCCTGCACATACGACGGGACACACAGGGGCGCAAGCGTTCAGACGGCAAAAGTTTCACTACAGTTCCACGGGAGAGCCGTGCACAACGATGTTGCAGTGAGAGGTGGCAATGACAACATATGGTATGCATCAGTAGCCATGTTTTTCGTCATGAACGCTTGCACAGGTGGTGTTGCGGAGATGCACAAGTGTTGTTTCGTGCAATGGTACAAAGAGGTGGATAGCGAAAGGGAACACACAACAGGTTGTAAGAAGTTGCAATGGGAGAAGGTGAACGGTCATCAACACAGTAGCGTCATAACGATTAATACCATCATTGACACCGTTCACATTGTTCCTCGTTTTTGTAAACCACAGTGAGGCTCGAAGTACCATGCAAAAAAGAGGGAGGACAGTTTTTTGTTGAATAGATATGTACTCTAGAAGTGTACAGGGAATTACTCATTGTGAAAAAAACAAAAATTAAAAGGCTGATCGTTTTTTCGATAACAATAAGTGGTGGGCGCAGTTGCAATGTTATACTACAGTATGTACTCAACTTTTGTTTTTCTTTTACAGAGAGAGAGAGAGAGAGAGAGAGAGAGAGAGAGAGGCGTTTGAACAACAATAGTCATTTGGTAAAGATGGAGTCCGAACATCGGTAGATTTTTCGAGCGCGGAGCCTGCATTTCAGACCACTGTTGCATAGCTTCTGTGTCATCTTACACAGCAATGTAGAGAAAGGTGCATCAAACCAATGTGTATGACGAAGGTAACTTCAGAGTTGACTACTACGTGCACATGTATGGCGAACGTGGACTTAAAAAGTGGGAGGTGGCACGCACTAGTCAACCCATGTCTATACTTGCCAAGTTACTGACGAGATGTGGTTCATAGCCATGTGACTGCCATGTGAACAGGAAAGGTTGAGGTTGAGGTAACGCCACAATAACAATCTGCACTGGAAGAAATGGCAAGACAGCAGGCCGGAAAATAAGCGTATTGAGGAATTGCTGAGAAGCCGATTTAGACTGACACTGCCATCAGTTGTCACATCTGTTGTATGACGGAGAATAAGGGTTGTTCAGATGAGCCAGTTTGACAAAATCCACGAGGGGGTAGATGGCAACGGTTGTATCATGGGCTTCAAAGCGACGGACAGTTGAGAAACAGCAAGGAATGACGAATACTCATGTGGACCAACTGTCACCGAACCGTTGCTCCCATTGAGCAGTGAGAGATCAGTGAATCGATGGAAGAGGATACTGGTGGACCCTTGGTATGCGGAAATGTATCAGATGATGACCACAGATGACGCCCAATATCCTCAGATGGTGCATGAACCTTTGTTCAATATTGCCGGAGGCAATCGGTCGACGGGGATGACTGCAGAGGCTGGAAAGAGACACAAGAGGGTGGACGAGGAACACTTGTTCCCGTTCACGTGGTAATCAAGAAGACACACCATATCGATAACAAAACGGGACGTATTGCGATTGGGTGCCAAGCAGTGGCTGAACGATAACATGATCGATATGTACTTACAGTCCGTCTATGACGAACATTTTCCAGACGCAGACAATATGACACTTCATGTTTGCACATCTTTCTGGCACCCCGCAGTCAGCGCCAATCAGAAGGTTTATGTCGCGAAAGCGGGATGGCAGAGGCGGATCAAGAGTACATCGCCAAAGCTGCGTCGAATAAGCAATGAACTGCGAACAATAAGTGTTGTTCTCATCCCTGTGAATCACGAAAACCATTGGAAATTGCTCTTGCTACTGAATGTCGGCCAGTTTTTGGCAGTCACGGAGGACAACGATGGCCAGAAACGACCTGTTGCGATCGTTATCGATTCCTTTCAACAGAGCGGCCGACAGGAATGAAAGGCGTTGCGCACATTTTTGTGGTATGAATACCTCAGTGAGGCAGACAAAGCAGGGGTGTTGACTCCCGACACAGTGGACACGTCGTGGGTGACATGGAGAGATCTACTTGGATCTAAGATAGTGTACGCTGAATGTTCGCAACAGACCATTACGTCGGACTGTGGCATTTATGTTTGTTGCGTGGCAGCTTAATTGATGCGAAAGCTAGCAAAACTGAGTAAGCAAACGAACATTACCACAAAATATATAACAGAAGTTGTTAGCGCGATGGAGGTTGACGACCAAACGGTCGACATATTTCGTCAGTCAATGGTACAGCGCTTTGCGCAGTCGAGGCAAAAGGATATAACACCGCAGCAGCATGTGACATAGAAAATGTTTTCAGAGATCTCATAGACGGAACACGGAGTGGATGTACGTAAATACGAGGGCATGATAGAAACCGTGAGATCAGGAAACACGAAGTTGATAACCGTGTGCAAATATACAGAACTCACACGTCGTAGAGAAGCCAATCGGCACGCAGTAGCCAACTTCTGCGCTCAGTCGATGGATGAATGCGTTATGTAATAAAGAAAAAAATATCGTCTTTCGTGTCATAACGGCAAAAAAACTCTCTCTCTCTCTCTCTCTCTCTCTCTCTCTCCCTCCCTGCGTGTGCAAATCTCGCCTGGGGTGGTGGATGACAAATGGTCGTTGTATAATATAAAATCATTTCATGTCTAACGTGAGTGTTTGTGAATTCATGCATGTCAGAGACTTTTAATAAGCATGAAGAGAATGGCTCCGAAGCCAAGGTACGAGGATCTGTGCAAGACCTTGAAGTCCACAGGGGGGAGAGAGAAGGGGGAGAGGACAGCAAAGGAACGCCAAAAGACTGTCAAGCAAAGACATACCATCAAGGATATTCACCGATTCAAGAGACGGGAGACGAACATGGTCTATAGAACAGAAGTTGTGCTCTCTGTCCCGCCGAGGAAAAAGCAGAGTGGGAAACTGCTCGAACACAACAAGTTACCTGCCGCGACTCCCTTGCTGCGGAAGGGACACGGCAACCTCGAGAGGCAACCTCCGACAGCGCCACAGAAGAAAAGACGAGAAGAAAAAGCACAGAGTCAACAACTGAGGACAAAAAAAAGAATAATATACAGAAAAGATAGGAGTCCTGAAGCAATCGACCTCAGAGGGTCATCCGATTTACGAACCACAGCTCAGGAGGAAGACGAAGAGGAAAATTGTGCGGAAGAAATGTCAGAAGAAGTAGAACACGAGAGAATGCAAGAACGAGGAGAAGGTGACAACAGTGACCGTCACCATGATGTCGATGCAGAGGAGAGCGATCCGGAGGGAGAAGAGGCAGCGGGAGAGGATAAATCCGAGGAGGGCGGAGAGGCAGAGAAAGGCAACAGTGAAGGCGAAGAAAGAGAGATTACATCTGCTGAGAACAGTGCACAATGCGGAACTGATGAAAAAAAGGGAGGCGCACCGGAGACTTCATCGAACGACAAACAAATTGTGGAGAGGGAGAATGTACCGCTACAGGGTAAGATGAAGGGCGCCTTATAAAGACACCACTATTTATGCACAACACAGTCGTTGTTGCATGCCGCAGAAACGACGAGGTTCACGGGGGGGAGGGGGGGAAGGGGAGGGGGCCGTTGGGAGGGGGTCTTTATGAGAGATGTTACGAAGTGTATTCGGAGGAGCGTATGGCAGGGGAGTTGACGGTCTTATGTTTGTTTGTGATTGCAACACATAGAATACGTATCGCGGAGGGTTTTCTTATTACTAAATCAATAATTTGTTGTTATTTTTGTATTTTTTCCCCAGATTGCACCAATTTGCGTAGGCGAAGCAGCACCGGTGGAGGCAATGCTGGCGAACCAACAGAGCAACAAACCGGGGGTCTTACAAAGAAAATGAAAGACAGACTGTTTCGTTCAGTGGCAAAGGCCTTTGCTTTTTCTGCAGCAAAGGATGCCACGATGTACCCAATGGAGGACATTTTTTTCACGGCACTGCAAACAACTGCGAAATCGATAGGAGAAGATGTGGAGGAAGGACTACGGTTGCACGTGGCAACGTACGAAATCCGAGCAGTGATCGGGGAATGCAATCGGATTATGACAACGGTCCGCGGCGAGATATCTTGGCAATTGAGACATTGGTTTTGGGCCGAAAAAGGTCTGCCGCTGGTCCGGTCGGCCCAAACGGACCACCAGCTTCCGACTCGCAATAGGATGCGGGCAGAGATGAAAGGGAACACAACATGGAGAAGGAGCGGCAATGATCCATGGGGCGCACCTCCTTTCAAGACGGCACTGACAAAAGTTTTTCAAATGAGAAAGGATGGCATCAACCTCGGTGTAACGTTGCAGCAACTTGCATTTGCGGAACTGGTAATGAAAACTGAAGTCGAACAGACGGCAAAGACCAGCAAGGCAGCGGACCAAATACAAAACCTTGCAACTATCAAGAAAGAAATTGCTGCGTCGCTCCGCTCCCGAGACACTGTTTTAAGCTTTTCTGTTTTCAAGCTCGACCGTGTTGTTTCTGTTGCAGAGAAGGCCGTCGCATTGTACAGAGCCGGGTTACCTCTGTACGGAGGGGAGACGCCAATAATATGACTACAACAGATGATGATTTTGAACTTAAGTTCATTGCGCCCACCGACGACAAACGTGCGGGCGGAGAGAGAAACGAAGAAAGTTTGTGCGCAAGGCCGTGAAAAGGAGAAGAAGGGGTCCAGATGTAGATGGACGGGGGTTGGGGGTGGAACATAGGGAGCAGACAGTGGCAACGGTGTTGTAGGGGACATGAGTTGCACMTCCACTCACAGTCAGTGGCATGACACCAAGCCAATGAGGACCAAAATGTAAAATATAAGAGAGAGAGAGAGAGAGAGAGAGAGAGAGAGAGAGAGAGTTGTTATCCGAAAACAAAAGACTCTGGAGAACCCTTAGGGCTGAGTGTACAATAAGCAACATGTTTTATTTAATGAATGGTTTTTGTACAAGTCCTGTCGTGGATATGTTTCGACCATCACGTGGCATTTGCGTCTCGCATCTCATATTATTCACCATCAATTTATTGTTTACATGGTTGCTTGTCTTGCAAGGATACGCACTGCGTCATGTGTAATGTGGCCCAAAATATGTCAGCGTTTTATTATGCAAAAACACGAATCATTAAAACGCATTACAGACTCCCAAAAATGTTCAATATGATGTCTTGAAGCAGTATTGAGAAGACACTAGAAAACATGTTCATCTTAATACTGGGCGAGAAGTACATGAGTGGTTAACTACTGCGTGCCATGTTCTTGTCGTGCATGTGAGTGATGCTGGAAATTGGCACCCGGTAGCCAACCTGCGTTTCAATATCGTTTTGACACCCCTGTGCACATTTGCCTTTGCAGCTGCATTCAAGGTTCACAGAAGCTACATAGAACCCCGAATAATATAAATAGAAACAGGGCAAGTTTTCTGCCATCATCAGTACGGGAGGGAAAATGACTCTCTCTCTCTCTCTCTCTCTCTTAGACGCCATCTCTCTCTCTCTCTCTCTCTCTCTCTCTCTCTCTCTCTCTCTCTCTCCCCCATATCATTTAAACAACATTTCAACAACATTTCATCACATTTAAACAACATTTCAACAACATTTCAACACATTTAAACAACTTGTAAACAACATTACAACAACTTATAAACAGGTTATCAACAACTTTTCATCAATTGAAAAAGTGTTTAACACAGTGTCACATGTTTATGACATATGTTATCAACGTTGAGTTCCTTCACTTTTGGTGGAACACATAACACTACCTCCGGCAAACTATTTATTAACACGAAACCAACAGTTTAAAAAGGGTGCCCGCATATGATAAACCGCCCAAAAAAAAACCCACAATTTTTCTGTTGATGCAGTTGATAAACAATATTATTGTCCTTAGCATAAACAGTGACACTTCGGATCTTGCCTGTAAACAAATTGACATCCACATGTATGAGTCAGAAGTACTGTCCTGACAGAATAATTCACCAGTATTTAAAAAAGGAAAGGACCCGGGGTCTTGGATGACCGAGGTGAAATGGCAAAGGGAGAGCAGGGAATTGACCACGATCAGCTAGTCAAGGACTACAAACTCATCTTCCACGAACTAAACGGCAGTGCATCCATCAGTTACCCCTTCCCTCTCTCTCTCTTTTCCACTGTAAGTCAGCAATGGCACGGGGGTCAGCAGAGTAGATGATAGGGGAGCTCGTAGTAGTAATTCGAAATTTGGAGGAGTGGGGAGTGGTCTAAACAGGCAGAACGCCCCCTTATCCGCCCCCAGATTTCCCTATTTCTCGAAGTTGTCCTTTCCTTCGTCGGGGGGCCCAGAGACTACTTTGCTGCCTCGCTGCTTACCTTGCATTGCCGCATTGTTTTCTTTCTACTCGCTGTATGTTTGGTTGCTTACGTTGCCTTGCTGCTTTGCTATCACACTGCCTTGCTGCCTCACTGCCTTGTCAGAAACCAAATTCACATTCAATATCTAATCAGGCTGCCCATTCGTCCACTCCTTCCCCTGTTGTTCCATGATAGTATATTTTGTTAAGTGGCCAATGACCAGCGTTTTGTCCTCTTTGAAAATCAATCTGTCATGGAAAATTTGAAGGCGTTCGTTTCTCCACAGCCGCATGAATTGTTCCTCCGTTGTGAAATGATCTTGTGTTGACAACGAAAGACTTTCATACACATGAGTCAGATCACAGAGGTTGAAGATGTAATGGAATCTCAAGAGTGTAGGAGGCAACTTCTCCACGACAAAGCTGTACAGGTGTAATGTTATTTCTGTTAAATGGGCGCTGACATTCTGCACCCACCGCCCCACACACACACAAACTTAATCAACAAGGTTTTGCTTTTCTTTTTGTGTGAAATTCAGCCGGTGAGTATGTTGTCACCATACCTCACTTCCCAAAAAGCGGGCCCTACTTCCCGTACCGTACAAAAGATGAGACCGGACAAATGAATGGTAATAGGAACAGAGCGGCATTGATTACTCTAGCCAAGACTTGACGATTGAATGCCTGGTTACATCAAGCATTACAACTTCCACAAACAGTTTATGAAGTCTCTCCTCAGCTCCCTTTGAGCCGACCAAATCGGGCCTCATTGCTAGCCCGATGTCCCCCAGTGCCTCATACTATTACTTTATCCAAGTGTAACTTATATCCCAGTGTTTCATCTCTAGTTTTTTTTTTTTTTTACATTTTTTTTTCTTAAATAACAATATACTTCGGCGAAGGGGGAGGGGGGGGGG